CAGGTTAAAATATAAAACTATTTTAGACAGGCTGACCATAACTCACGCAGGCATGTTGCCACAGAATGCACTTTTATTAGCTTACCTAGACAGGTAGCCGTCTGTTACAGTGCAGGTGATGGTAAAACTGGACTTGGTCTCGTAGTCGAAGGCCTTGTCGTACTTAACCACCAGTGAATCGGCTGTGACATAAACATTGTTAAATTAATGGCAAAGATCGGGTGTATTTTTGTAATTACATTTTCATTTAGTTAAATAAATTAATACAGATCATCTAATGTCATAGTTTGTAATGAACATTTAAAAAATAAATCATATTTCAACACAGCTTATACATATTATAGTTTGACTCAAAGTCATTGCAGTTTCAGGTCAGGCTTTTTTATTACAGCTGCATTAATGTCATAATTTTCACTGCACAGAAAGTCATACCCTCAGTGACTCTTATTTCAAACTGTTAACTTGAAATCATAATTTAACTCAGCGACTCTGTTTGTCCATTCTGTGCAGTTGTTTTATTAAATGCATAGCCTATTGTAAATTTCAGTGACTGAAACTTCAAAAAATATCGATCGATCATTAAGCTCTGTTGTATTTTATATTTAGTACACGCTTCAACGACTCTCTAAGAGCTTCACTCGAATACATGGACCTGTGAGCTTGTTTCGTGGGGAAACACTGGCTGTTGATTGTACAAAGTGGGATGGTAGACTTACGGTTCGGCCACAATCATCAGAGATTAAACGCATAGTTCATGCCCAAAGAAGGCACATGACAAGAGAAACTCGAATTCCCTCAGATCCAAATAGAAACCCAAAAATATGTGTCATTTGTGCATGAAAGCTTTCCGTGCACAAATAGAACTGGCAACCAGTTCCACTCAGATCCAAATAGAACTAAAACAATATGTGTCATTCGTTCGTGAAAGCTTTCCGGGCATAAATAGAAAATGGAAACCAGTTCCAATCATATCCATCTAGAACCCACAAAATATGTTTCATACGTGCGTGAAATCTTTCTGTGCACAAATAGAACTGGCAACCAGCCTTTGGTTTAACGAGATTTTTACGAGAACTGATAACCCTTAAGTGGGAGAAAAGACCAGGAAGCATGACAACGTTGAATAAAACATTGGTAAACATCGCATGTTAAGGAGAACAACCACAGTTTATTAGAGCAAATGAAGTTAAAAAAAAAAAAAACTAAACCGATGCACATGTTTAATATGAGTTTTAAACTGCCTAGACTTCCAAAATACCAGCCTTACACGCGGAATTATACGTGAACTTGACGTTGTCAGGCGAAGAGGTGGACGAGCAGGTGGGGCTGAGTCCCTGGCTTGTGTCGTCCGTGGTCCCAAGAGCAACAATGACGTCACCGGCAAGTGAATCTTCGGGTAAGAAGACCGTTGCGGGAAGACCTGTCATCTGGGGTGCCTTGTTCTGGTCTGTCGACATTAATTGAAATGGACTTTACAATAATTCGGTAATTTCTGCTTTTTTTAGATTATTTTTTTTTTATGTTTGCAAGACGACATTTTAAAAATTTAAATGAGAGCAAAATTTACTGATATGTTATATTGTTACCAAATGTATACAGTTAGAAATATCACATCCTAAACAGATTAATGCCCGTTTAAGGGTTTGTTACAAGTTCATATTATACTAATCTAGACAAAATACAGGCGGAAATAGAATAAATACGGGGTAAAAACTTTGTAGTGAGTAGATGGGTAAAAACATAGCGGTGAACATAGGAGTAAATATTTAGTGGTGTATAGCGTAGTAAAAAAAAGCGGTGTATGGAATAATAAAAACATATCGGCGGTGTATGGAGGGTAAAACATAGTGGTTTATGGAGATATAAATACAGTGGCACATTGAGGAGTAAAAACATAACGGTTTATAAAGGGGTAAAAATCAGTTTATTGAGGGATCAAAACATAGCGGCGTATGGTAGTGTAACAACATAGCGGCGTATGGAGTTGCTAAACATAGCCTGTATGGGGTGTAAAACATATCATGAATGGAGGGGTAAATCATAGCGGTGTATTAAGGGTTGAAAAGAGTTTTACGATAGCTGGTAACACTTAAGTGGGAGAAAAGACCAGGAAGCATGACAAAAGTGTCCCGCCCACATGCCTGGACTGACCCGTTATGATGACGTAGAGCGTGAAGGCGGGGCTGACTGTGTTGTATGAGTCACTGGCTGACACTGTTAGTACATGCGTCAGAGTCGTGGCCGTCTGCATGTCTTTAGCAGCAGTGATTGAGCCGTCACCTGGAGAGTGAGAAGTGCGTAAGAAGCATCGATGAGTGTGGCCTAACAGATTAAGTAACATTCATTGAATGGGTATCTTATATCATCATCTTATTGCAAACACAACTGCTGGTATTTAAGAAAAGTTTGAAAGAAATCGTGAAACTGAATTTGACTTTTTTTTTTCGGGGGGCGGGGGTAGAAAAGTTTGAAAGAAATCGTGAAACTGAATTTGACTTTTTTTTTTTCGGGGGGCGGGGGGGGGGGAGCATATCGGTGTAATGTCAAACGATTTTTTTCTTTACTTTTTAAATAGGCTTTCAAAAATATTTCCTTTTTAAAAATGTTCCCCGTCATTTTGTCTTTAATGTTTTTTTTCAAATTTATCTACGGAATACTTATTCATATTTTGTCGAAGTTAAGTGACAATACTAATGGGACTAGGGAAGAGGAAATACAAAAAAAAAAATCAATATCGTATTAAAGGGAATAAACATGCACAAAATACTTTTCCTTAAAAAACTCACAATATTTTAAGCAGAAAATTTGTACTTAACGGTCATGTTGTGAACTGGACTAAAAAGGAATCAATTCTATCCACGTTTGAGATGTACTACAAGAAAACCCCATTAAATAACAAGGAACATGATTCAATAACATCAGTTTTATCATTTGAAGACTTCTCACATTGAAATAAAATACATGCAGTAGAATAGGTCGTTAAAACAATAGGGCCCGTGTTTAGCCTTGAGGTACATTGACCAGCGGCAATAGTAAACTATACCTAGAATACTGACTGTTATTTATACATCATTATATAAAGCTTTAAAATATATTATCATAAGACACGAACAAATTGTGTCAATATAACAATGTAAGTCACACTTTAATAATAATTATACATTATACACAATGAAATGTGTTGTTTTGTGTGTACTGATGAAGGCATATGTCGAAACGTTTACTACCTGGCTGACATGTCTTTTTCAGATTCGGTTTTTTACAATTATGTTCAAGTCATTTCCTTTCTACTCCTCTTTACTTTGTTTTTGTCTGGTTTTAGCGCCCTCTCCATTTTTTAAAACTTTTTTAGGTAGGATATGTATATATATGTAAATTTAATGTATACTTTTTTAAATGTGTTTTTGTTTGTTTGTACTGATGAAGGCATGTGCCTAAACGTTTACTTGTGTGTAATGTATAATTATTATTAAGGCGTAAGTTATATTGTTATATTGACACAATTTGTTCGTATCCTATTAAGCTATGTATACCTAGCAGTATTAAACATAATATATACCTACCAATACTGACTGTTATGTATACCTAGCAGCACCAAACATCATGTTTAACTACCAACACTGACTGTTATGTATACTTAGTGGCACCAAAAATCATGAGCACCTACCAGCGCCAACAGTAAAGTATCCCACATTTGGGTTTGACGTCATGGTGAAAGTCACAGCGTCATTCTCAGGGTCGGTGTAGACCGCCTTGTCAATCTGGGAAAACTGTGAGGTGCTTTTGGCGCTGATAGTCACAGTGGAGGTGGCTGGGGTGTAACAAAGTAGAACTTTTATAGAAGACGTGGTTGGGATGTAACATATTTGAACGTGCATTATGCAGTGGGTGCATGTAGTGGCGTAGTTAGGACTCTTGTCTCAATTTTTGCCGCCCCTTTCCACGAAACTACAGCTCTGCGGTTGGATTAAAATAACGCTCATGAATATAAATAGCATAGAGTGGACTTCTCCACGCGAACCCCCCCCCCCCCCCCCCCGTAAGTCACTCAATGCTTGGATAGACTTTCTTAATTATCTGAGTGAACTGATGGCAGCGGTGCTGATGAACTGACCATAACAAAGGAGGTAGCTAGGCTATACCATATAGAAATATAAAGGGGAAAGTTAGAAGGGTCATATGAATGAGAAAAAAAATGGTTATTTATGAAAAGGATATATAGACGGCGAATTGCATGTGTGTTATCATTAAACAATGAGAGGTTGTGATATCCTTATTCTATCATAGGTTGTGATATTCTTATTCTATGAGAAATTGTAAATTTATTTTGAAACGATTGTGAAATACAAAAGAACTTTTTAAAAAGTTAAAAAAAAAAAAAGGAATATCTCTAAATAAAAATGTGTGTGATATTTTCTTTACGTTTGAAGAGACAATGAACATTCTTATGTGATTCAATATAGTTTGTATATTCGTCCTATCTCAAAGAACTCATGACACCTTGTGTACCCAAACGACAGCTACGCTCATCCGATAGTGGACAAATATCGATAACGCGTTTTCGGCTTGAGACTTACGGAAAGCGCACCTTCGCATTTGCTGGCCAAACAATTTGGAACGCCTTTCCTGTCACTGTAAGAAAAAGCCAGACACTGGAGTCCTTTAAAACCGATTCAAAAACATCTATTTCGCAAACCCTTCTGGGTGTGAAGTTGTCTACCATATTTTTTCCATTTAATGTATATTGGCTTTTGTTGTTTATGGTTGAAAGGGATGAAAGACTTTGGCTTGGTTTATGCTCGTATGTAGTTTTTGTATTGTTGCGTTTGTTTGTTTTTGAATGTGATAAATTATAGATTGTTTTTATTTTTAATTTGGTTGACTTTGTACAGCGCTTCGAGTCTTTGGGGATGAAGCGTGTTTTTCAAATAACTTTATTATTATTGTTATCCGCTACACTTGTTTTTTTCCGTTTATTGAAAAAAGATTTCCATAAATACCTGCGTTGGTAAAGGTAGGCGGTGAGTTAGTCGTTACCACCACGTTCAGAGTTCGTCTGGAGATACTGAGAGTGAAGAGACGGTATAACGTCAAGTGGTCTGTTGGTATGTTAGCATGTCTGGTGTGTATATATGTGGAGGTTTTAGTGTATTATATGTAGTACAATCGATAAGTGTACTGTGTGTGCCAGTGGACGGTTAATTGTTTAATTGTCGGCACATATATGAGTGTGCTTGTGTAATGCTGTATGTGCGTGTGTTTGTGTGCTGTGTGATGGTGAATTGGGTTGATGTGTGTACGAAGTGTATTAGGGCAATGTGTGTAATTATGATGAGGTGTGGAGTGAATGTATTTATGCGTGTGTATTACGTTGTTTGGTGACGATGTAAGTGTGTGTGGTGTTGTATTGTTTGATGACAATCTAAGTATTTGTGTTCCGTTGTTTGATGACGATGTAAGTGTGAGTGTTTCGTTGTTTGATGACGTTGGCATTATTGTCTTTTGCTGCGTTTGTTGTTAACGTACTCACATGTTGAGGTTATTCTCCCGGCAAGCCACTCGTACAGGGTAGGTCGTGCCTTGCACGAGAGGGATCGTAGCATCATAATAAACATAGTAACCTGCAAGAATGGTAATAAAAAGCCACACATGTAGTACACAGAATGAACTCCTGGATTTATTGTATGAAAGAAAACCTCGCTAGAATAAATGCCACAAAGGTTGGTAATCGTTTCACGAAAAAAAGTTCTACATTTTTTCCAAAATCACAAATTCTCTGCATTAAGAAAAAGTATTAACCACGACAGAACACCCCTCTGCCCTCTACCTTCTTTATACGCCTCTGCAAGTTGTAGTTGTGTGGACATGTTAAATGTGAAAGGTGACACTTTTTATAAAGACATAACAACTTTTATATAATGTTTTATCATGAACAACTCAAGACAATAACAAAATAAAAATATCGTTACCACCCATCATGTCATTAAAAGAATGCCTGGGTCTTGCCGGTCCAAGTGGTAGGCCCCAGGGATTCGTAAAATGTGGCCGATGTTAACTCACCGTCGTCAGAATTCAGCCAAAATGTCTCAAACGGGATAGAGTTGCTGTCAACGAGACACGTGCAAATATCATCAGGGTCAGGGTCGTCGCAGTTGACCTTGGACCCAAAAAAGGAAAACTTATTGTCTTTTATAAAGATAAGCAATCGATATCTTAAAAGATAGATATTTGTTTTATATTTTTGATTGTATAACTACTATATCAACTAAACTTGAAGAACACACTTCTATCAAGTTGGCTCTCTTAATAACGCACAAAAAGTTGTAAATAGAAGGTACTACTTTTAGTGCATTCATGTCTATTGGATTTTTAAGTAATTTATCAATGTTGAGGCTGTTTCTTATTTCGTGTTACAAGTATGGGTGTTTATGTCCTACTTCACTTCAATAGTATCTTTTAGACACGGTTGACTGCTTTGTAATGAACTCCATCGCTTGACATACCTTACTGTTCAGTTTCAACAGAGAATTCGTGGTCACTGGGATGGTCACTGTGTCTGGTGTGAACACTGTGAACGTGGCAGGCTGTGGAGATGACACAACGAGAATGGTATCTTATTGTGAATAGTTTGAAAATAAAAGTAATATATCATTCAGAATCTCATAATGTATTTAAATTATAATATATATATATATATATATATATATATATATATATATATATATATATATATATAAAAAATATTAATCATATAATATATATAAAATAAAATATATATATATATATATATATATATATATATATATATATATGTATATATATATATTAAACATTTATATGCAAAAAATACATTTTAACTTGTTCAGAATAATACTTACACTATATGACATTATAGTTTATCTTAATAGCGTTATAATCACTCATGTTTAAGAATACCATTTACTTAAATAAAATTGATATTTGACACCTACCTAATCCCATTTTATGTTATTCACGTACTACTTAAATGTTTAGCTTGTCTGCTTTTATATCTAAACGAATGACTTATACTTAACGTTAAAACTATTTTGTAAGGCGCCTTTTGGATGTTATATCAAGTTATTATGATAATTATGAAACACAATAATGCATTTAAATTGTAGTAAGACCATCTATAGACATTGATCTCCTGAAATACTTTATAACTTTGCTTTCGCTTTTATGTTCGTGTTTAAAAAAAAAAAAAATCGGAACGATAATTGTTTCACATCCCATCAACCTATCGAGCTGAAACTTGGCAAATAGACTCGTTGCCAATCACAAAAAATTAGCTCGCATTTTTCTCAACTCCCTATACATAAAATACATTTATCCTGTTTTTCAAAGGGAAGATGAAAGCAATATGATGCAATGAATCCTTAAGGAATGCTTCCATAGCTAAGTTGTTCACGAAGGCAAAAAGAAAAGTTTTATGGAAAAAATAAAACTTTTTTTATGTATTGTTTAATTGGATAATTGATAACATTTGCTTTTGTTAATGTGCTTCTTCTTTCTTTATTGCAACATAACCGGTGGAAGGTTAATTGACACACTTTCTGTCATTCTATCAAGCCGAGCTTGGCACATAGACGTGTAGCTTTTGCAACCCATTCTCTCAAGTTTTTAGCTTTACCCCCAACCCCTAACCCCCCCCCCCCCAAAAAAAAATCACTTTTACTTATTTTTCAGATAGTACATGTTAATGATATCTTCAATGTTTGCTTATTTTGTTGTGGAGCAGCTGCATATATATGCTTTTTATTTGTGACGTATTCGAGTTAAAAATATCTTAAGTCTCTTATGCTTTAAATTCATTGAGCGTGATCAATACCATTCGCATAAAAAAAACCATTAGTTTCTAGATAATATAAATGATAAATCACGTGCAACGAAATAAACGCCAACGAAAAACGCGCATAACATAATTTTACGAGCAATTTTTTTTGTTTAATAGTTCTATTGCTTAAATATTCTTCGTGTTTTCTTTAGAAAGCCTTGAATATCAAAGCAGAAAGTTTTTAATTGTGCAATTTTTAGATTTTTTTAAAATTGTATTTTCTATAAGAAAAATTTCTAAACGTTATTTTTTCCTGTCCACTGATAAACAACTGGAACATCTGACCACATGACTCACCGCCCCTTCCGCTGGCTGTGTTACCAGATGTAGGAAGATGATAATCCAAACATTCCAACACGCAAATACCTTCATCTTTTTTAGTCTCTACTTTTTAGTTTTAGTTCTGTCCTACAAGAATATTGAATGCGTTGATTAACTTTCTTGTATACCTTATATAATCGAAACTGTAGGGAAATCCTACTAAATATACACTGATAGGCATGATTAAATCATCTTATTCGAAAATTGATTTGTTTTTTGACTGCGCTTCACATTCAAATTAGCCATTATAGAATAGTATAAATTTTAAAAGAGCATTTAGAAAATTTAAAAGCTTGACCTCACCCACCCATTGTCTATCTACCCCTGTGTAGCTTGGACAGCACCCAGCACCATCGCGCGCTGTATCAATTAGAGGGTGGTTATAATGTGATAATACAGTTTGATGAGATGGGTCTTGAGAGCAGTTTTAAAGGGGGGATCGTCGTTATAATGCTGATGCGTAATGGGAGAGAATTCCATTGTTGCACAGAGAGAGAAAGATCGTTCACCATATGTTTTAGTGCGTGTTCTGAAAACAGAAAGAACACGGGTGTCTGCGGAGGAACGAAGCTTTCGAAGGTGTAAATAAACAGAAAGAAGTTCAGTAAGATAGGAAGGGCATGGGCTAGAGAATATATATATATATATATATATATATATATATATATATATACGGCGTTATTCAGTTTCTCGAGACGATGGAGCAGCTATGCACACTTCAACGAATGACTCACTAGACCAATCCTGGTAAAGTGCCCCTATGATCTAAAACAATAATAATATAATACAATTAACCTCTTGTACAGCATTAGATCAATTAAAAATAAGCATTCTTGCAACATGAACTATTAACTATAGAATTAACCATAACAACCAAAACTTCAATTAAAGTTAGTGTAAAATTTAGACACTTAAAGATAAATGACAATTAGTAATAGTTTAATATTTATCTAAAGGATACAAATAATAATAGTCACATTAAGTACTACAATAAAAGATAACTATGAGAATAGTTTTCCAAAATCAATCAAAACTGATATGGCAATTATATAACCCAAGCATATAGTGTAACATGTATATCAATAATATAGCTTTAGTATTAAACATATAAATCAAATATATAACGGTAAGCGTATAACATACTGAAGCTGTATAACAGTAACAATAAATTACGCATTTGAGTATGTCCTTCAATTCAGACATAAATATATTGTCACCACATTAGCGATCACAACATTTTAGTGCTACCACATATGCCATCACAACATTTTAGTGCTACCACATATGCCATCACAACATTTAGTGCTACCACATATGCCATCACAACATTTTAGGGCTACCACATATGCCATCACAACATTTAGTGCTACCACATATGCCATCACAACATTTAGTGCTACCACATAGACAATGACAACATTTTAGTGCTACCACATATGCCATCACAACATTTAGTGCTACCACATATGCCATCACAACATTTAGTGCTACCACATATGCCATCACAACATTTTAGTGCTACCACATATGCCATCACAACATTTAGTGCTACCACATATGCCATCACAACATTTTAGTGCTACCACATATACTTTATACTCTATGCGAGCATGCACCGGCAGCCAGTGCAACTCTCTCAGAAATGTTTTTGCATGGTCGAACTTGCGTTTGCGGAGAACTATGCGAGCCGCATTATTATTTTAGTGCTACCACATATACCATCACAACATTTTAGTGCTACCACATATGCCATCACAACATTTAGTGCTACCACATATGCCATCACAACATTTTAGTGCTACCACATATGCCATCACAACATTTAGTGCTACCACATATGCCATCACAACATTTAGTGCTATCACATATGCCATCACAACATTTAGTGCTACCACATATGCCATCACAACATTTAGTGCTACCACATAGACAATGACAACATTTTAGTGTTACTACGTGGGGAAAAAAATTAGACATTATAGATTCTATTAAATCAATATTATACCAATATTATATCCAGATTATATCCAGATTAAATCCGAATTAACCCAAAACATTTACCTTGCATCATACAGAATACAATGACACTGTCACTAAGAACAAACAACCAGGCTTGTCCTACTGTGTTCAAAATGTTGCCATGTTTAACACCGAAAATCAAAGGCACATGTTCATTATCCTAAGTGTCGTCCCCTTGTACATTGTACCGTTTAAATACCTGGAGCATCGAAACACGGGATTGATCCATGATCACTTTTCCGATTCACTTTTGAATCATTACAAGAATTACACGGTGCGTTTTAGGTCAGAGGTCATACACACATGAAATGGAGTCACACTATAATAGGTCTGGTTAAGAGTTAGTTAAAATTGGTTCGTCCTCATTAGGCTTGGTTCAAATCTCCTTATCCCCAATCACGAAATTTTTGTAAGACTCTTCAGCCATGTGCGATCTCATGAAAACAATTTGCACAATAATTTCAATAAAGTTTTTAAGTTATATTGAAAGGCGAAAAAAATAAAAAATTATGTCAAGCGGCTCTTAAATTGTAAATCTATAATTATCAATTGGTGTTCTCTCGGTGTGAACTCATTGGGGACAAAAGTAAATTAAGTTCTTTAACAGGTTTAAATCTAAATACAATGGCACAAAAATTTTCTTGACGCCAGGCGTCCGTAACCTCTTAGAGTGAAATCACCGGGGTGTGAAGCGATAAATCACCACACCGTGACCGAATTTTCTCGATCATTTTTAAAACCTTTCTATCCGGGTGTTCATAAAATGTATTTGTTCACTTTACTTTGTTTGTTAACAGGTGGAGTGTCGAGGGGTGCTCCAGCCGGGGGAACTTATCTATATGTAAGGGCAGTAGCATAGGAAGGGGGTGTTGACTGGATGGGCCTCCCAGGGTGACACTTGTTTCCCTCCAATTAACGGCTGGCATTTTCCACTGACCGCGTAATAACTTTTTTGTTGAAGGTGGTAGACAAGAACAGGGAACGGCCCCAGCGGCCTTAACTTAGCTACGCTGCTGTCGGTCAGCGGAATTTTCAAGCTCTACTGTCAACTCTCCAAATACTTGTAATAGCTGGTATCAAAGTGTTAAGATTTCCCAACACGTATAATTACTTTAATACGGCGGAGTAAATGTAAAGGTTATTTGTAATGAAAGTGTGTATATTGTTACGAACTGACCTGTATTGGGAGAAATTAATCTCCTATTTTAATTTTAATTGGCTCGTTGTAAGCAGTGCCTAACAAAGGACGATACCATAGAATAAACAATATTAAAGATACGACCCAAACAGTTTCTAGTTACAATTAATTAAGATTTATTATGTCTTAAGATAATTACAAAAGAAAAGAAAAATATAATTACAATCTTCAACTTACAGTATGGTAGATCTCGTACCGGTACACAGTTAATACAATTAGAAATAATGATGCCAATAAATAATGCGAAATAAACACATATAAGTAGGAGCACACAAATACACAAAGAATAAAACACGCCTCGTAATGTTAAGAAAATGTATATGAAAAATCTCCCTCCCTCTGTATCTGTCAATCCTTTATATATATGTAGAGTAAGACGCTTCCAGAAGGGCTTATGACGTGTTGTTTACATATCTCGGGTTAAGGAGTACATTCCAGAAGGTACCCGGAGTCATTATACCCAATGCGTAATTGGAAGCCGATTGTAAACAAGATACGTCAAAGGCCTAAGCCACACCCCTTTGTGAACACAGCGTCTCATGCGGGGTCAATCAGAGGGCACGCACGAGAAATATGATGTAAACAAGCTCTCTATAACAATATCAAGGGGAACTGATTTTTATTATTTTTATTTTAACACTCGAATTACGACGCTGCCTAATCTTTTCAGGGTTCATCCCTTCAAACTGTTTGTCTCTGTAACAACACCAGACACAATGTTTAAAATCGTTACCTCCTCCACGTGACCTGGACTAGTAAACGCCGCTGTTTAAGAGAGTTATTTTGTTTCGTCTTTATTTTCAAGGTAAAATTCAAGAGAATCTCTGCTCTATTAATCCAGGCAGTAAAGTATTTACTGTCCGAATTCTATTCAAAACTGCATATCGAAGACCAAATCTTTTCACTCAGACTTAGAAAGCTGTCGATAAAAAAAATGTCAACAAATAAAATCGATATTAGCCGTGGGACGAAATCTATTCTACCCGACATGATTGCACTTTTAAACTTTGATCGAATCCATTTGTTAGTGGTAAACTATGTTGAAATGACATTACTATGATATCATCAATGTTAGTGTACTACGTAAAAAAAACAAGCTTTGTGCTGCTGTCATAAATTAAATTGAGATCCAGCAGTGTAACATTTCACTACACTGACCGAAAAGCTGTGCGGTCAACTAAGTCTAAACAAATAGACTGCATTTCAATGCTCAAGCTTTACCAAGACCAACTAAAATGTCAGGATTAGAATGAATAGGAAACGACACTATTGGATAATAAACGTCAACATTGGATGGGATACGTCAATATCGGATGGGCCACGTCCACATTAGAAGGGATACGTCAACATCAGCGTAAAAATCACCCGACAAAGAATTCCGTCACAATAAATATGTAATTAGTGATTATTTAGATTTTGTAAATGAAGGTAATGTTTACAGAAATAAATTGTAGTTTAAGGGCTTGAAAATGTGTAGGGTAGGCCTAAAATATATGGTGGAAAATACTTTTCTAAACTTAATGATGTTAGAAGCCTTAACGTCATTATGCAGATCCCCTTTTAAACAAAATCAGTTGCTATAAACGTTTGCTGTAGCATGTAGAAATTATCGCAAAGATCCTTTAGGTCATATAATTATTGAACATTTGAAAATAATATGAGAATATGATTGCGCAAAAAAAAAATGAAATATATTTCTTTTTCATTATGTATTCATTTTTTTTAGAGGATGTTATTTTCCTATCCAATATTTAAGCATAAATTTTAATGATTGGTTGAAATTACTCTCTTTTTTT